AGATGAATGGATAAAGAAAATGTGGTGTATATAAAAAGGTGGAGTACTACTCAGCCATAGAGATGGATAAATGTGAGTCTCTTCCAGGAAAATTGATACATCTTGATATGAAACAAATAGACATAGAAGGTTAAATGTAGTATGATTTCTCTTATTTGAGGAGTGAAAAATATAAGTAGCTGAAAGAGCAAGCAGGGTAAAAGAGAAAATGGAATCTGGGAGGTAGACTTTGTGGAGATGGGAAGTGGATCGTGAGATGGAGGGAGATAGGAGAGAGGGAAGGAGAAGTTAAAAGCTTCAAGACATAATATTTATCTGTACCAGTTTCCCTAGATGAATATTTTATTATGTATCACAAATGTATACTGATAAAAAGAATAAGCACGAGAAACAATATCTGTAACAAAGCGATCATTTGGAGAAAGGAAAAATTAAAAATCCACTATTTTCAATTCTTCCTTCACTGGCCAACTCCTGTGATTTAATCTCTTTCTTGTCCCAGTATAAATTTTGTGTTTAATTCATTGCAGCATAAAAATTATACACAGAGATATGTGTAAAATATTTACTTGTATAAGTCATTCTAAAAATTTAGTTTATTCATCCATTAGTTGCAAAGTGTTGGGTACAACATTGGTCATAGCTCAGATACAAAGCTTGCTACTGGGTTTTATAAATTTCCAGTGTGTTTCCTAATTTTTGGGTTTGTTAGGTCTGTCAGTGACCAAAGGGGTAATCAACAATCTCCCACAGTTTCGGTGAATAACTTTCCTTGGCTCCATCAGTGTTACTTAGAAATTCTAAAAATTGCATTCTTTAATGTCTATTGTATTAAATATATTATTGTCATTTAAAATATTTTTTCACTTCTAAAATAATCAAACTTCTTATTAACCAAGACTTCCCTGAGCTAACACAGCAGTGAGTGGAATGTGCAGGGCCCGTGGGGAGGGACTGGGTTTCAGTGTCCACTTGCCCACTGTGTCATCAGCTGGTCTCATCTTGTTTGTTTCCTATAAAATCCCTTTATTATTAACACATAATGGAGCAATAGATTAGATGCAAAATCATATGTAAATGAGACTTGGGTTTCTAGCAAATTTTAGGTGTACAATTTTTGCATGTTTGTCAGTAGAATGATTTTTGGCGGTGTACTGTAATGATTTCTGGTTGTCCCACTAGGAAGGCCCTCTCATCTAAGACACATGGCTCTAACTCACTTCAGCACTGGGTTCGTGGCTCACACTCCTGTCGCATGGTCACTTGCTTCCTCCGCTGTGGCACCTGCTGCAGTGGCACGGTTTGTTCCTGGTGGGTCCGGGGTTGAGTTTCATCGGCATTCAGGAGACCTCTCCTTACAGAGCGGCAATGGGGAGAAGCCGCCTCCCTGCTGCCGCCTCCCTGCTGCCGCCTTCACCAGCCTCGGTGGTGAGCATCTAATGAGATGCAGTGAGAGACCTGCCTTGAAGCAGCCATTCAGAATCTGTAGGTTCATATAATTTCCACGTCTTGAAAGCAGATTCACTCGGCCTTTTACAAATGGTCGGATCTGTACCTGATCAACACCACGCATAGGTGACATCTGGCCTCAGCATTCGCTGCTGCTGCATGATCCCCAAAATGATCAATAAGGTTCTGATTAAAACAGTGCATTTATTAATACTGAGATTGGGAAATATGAAATTCATCACAATCACAGTCAAATGGCAGGAAGCCCAGCAATTCCTCTCCTTCGGAGGTGCTCCTGGCTGGCCTGGACGATGTTGCGGTGCACTCCTTCCCGGGCCTCCCTCTCACAGGACGGCTTCCGTCTGTAAGGCTCAGCCGCACAGCGTGGGTGACAGCCAGTCAGGCTGTGCCTGTCACCGCTGTCCTGGTGTCACAGCTTCTCCTGTCGCCCGACCTCAGGCACCACCTGTCCCTACCTGACAGTCACCCGACTTTCTCCTCGATGCCCCACTCTTCCATTCTCTTCTGCCCGCCCCCCACCCCTGGCCTGGCCGGCTTGTCAAATGCAATCTGTGCTCTCGCAGAACCCAGCTACGTATCTTCTTTAGCGGGCAGGTGATTTGGGATTATCTGTAAAAATATCCACAACGTTTTCGTGTAACTTAAATAGGCACCTCCAAATCTCTCATTTCTTATTATGATTCCATGTGAAAAGCAACCTTCTTAAAACCTTGCTGTGTTGAGGTAGGCCCACTTGAGTTCTACAGGATAGTACAGTAAGACCATGCAACGGTACAGGACTTCCCACCAAGACCATGAGGAGGGGGCGGTTACCTCCAGGGAACGGAGTCACTAGATGGTGCTGGTGGAAGAAAATCATGGTGGTGACGATACTCACATCGAGGTTTGAATTTACCAAATCCAAGCCCATTCAGAGACCAGTCTTAGAGAATTACTAATAGAAAATTGCCTGTTCATGGGAACTTTACTCTGTCATATGACACAGATCACAGAGCCATGGGGTTGGAGACAAACAGCTATCAGAATGGTGGGTATTTACATATCTATATCTCCATATCTATGTGCTAATGGCTATGCATTTATACCTGTATATCTCTCTCTCTCTGTTGTATCTGTGTCTATATGTCCATGTCTGTATTTATGTCTCTCTTTCTATATATGTATACATATGTATATATGTATGTGCAGCAAAATGTAAAGTACACATGTCACAAGTCTGACCATTTGTAAAACTCTGAGTATATATATGGAGATATATGTGTATTCATGGATATGTGCATTTATATGGAGATATATATTTATATGGAGAGTGAGAGAGAGCTAAGATATATAATATATAAAATTTTGTCATTTTAACCATTTTTAAATATGCAGTTCTGTGGCATCAGCTGCATTTGCACTGTTATAGATCTGACATGAGTCTCGAGTGAACGGCATGTGCGTGGACCCGCTGTGCACACATGTATAGTTTCCTGCGCTCCGCCCTCTGAGTTCCGGGTTCGAGGCCCTCAGTGCCCCAGCTACCATAACAAAGCGTCACCGATGCAGTGGCTTAGAGCGTGGATGTTTATTTCCCAGTGCTTTGGAAGCTGGAAGTTGGAAATACTGGCAGGGCTGGTTTCTTCTGAGGTTCCTCCCTGACCTGGTGGTGGTCTTGTGTCTGAGTATCCATGTGCGTTTTCCTCTGTGAGTTCAGGTCCTGACATCATCCTCTTTCATAAGGTCGCCTGGTGCATCTGGGCTCACCCTATTGACCTGACTTTAACTTAATTCCACTGCAAGGAGCCTAGGGGTGAATGGAGGCACATCCTGAGGACCTGAGCTAAGGCGTCCAGTGGATAATCCTGTCGGTCATTATCTGGCTGTTCCTGAGGGTCTCCCAGCCACCCAGACTTACCCTCCTTGGCCATCTTCATTTGTGATTGAGTTGTCATTGTTTAAAACTGACACACGGTGGTTCTTTTTCATTTTTATGTAAATTCTATAGATATTTTCTTTATAGTTGCCATGGAAATTACATGTAGCATTCTAAATTATGACATTTTTAATTAATCCTAAATTTACTCATATACACAAACTTTACTCTTTGCATATCTACCTCCCTACTTTATGGCATTGATGTTATAAATTTCATCTCTCTGCATTGTGCTTCTATTAATATAAATTTATAGTAAACTCTGTGTGTTCATCTTTTAAATATTACATTAAATAGAAAGTGGAGTCATAAATCAAAATTGTTATAACACTAGTTTTTATATTTTCCCACGTATTTACTTTTAGAGGAGATCTTTTTATTTTGATGTAGTTTCAAGTTACTGTTTGATGTTCTTTCATTTCAACTGGAAGGAGTCCTTACCAATCCTTTTGTAGGTCAGGTCTTGATAACAGACTCCTTCATCTTTTGACAGAAACTATCTTCAAGTCTCCCTCAGTTTCCAGAAAGTTTTGCTGGATATAGAATTCTCGGTTGGCTTTTCTTTCGGCATTAAATGTGTCATTCCACCACCTTCAAAGCTGCACAATTTTTGTTGAGAAATCTTCCAGTAACCTTCAGTGCTCCTAGTTTGTGATTTGTTCTTCTCCATCTGCTTCAAAATTCTTTTTCTTTGTCTTTCAGCAGCTTGGTTAGAATGTGTCTGATTGTAGATCTCTTTGCCTTCATCCTTCTTGCCAGGGCTTTGTTGAGTGCCTTGGATCTGTACACCCTTTTTACTCACCAGGAATAGAATTGCCTGTTTGAATGGCATAAACTCCTGTAATTATGTGAATCGTCCAACTGCATGTTCAGAGCCAGAGTAGCTACTTCTTTGGTTGCTTTTCCACCTCAGTGGCAGTGCAGAGAACCCAGACCCTCACATGTCTCTCCCTGTCCACCGTGCCCTGTTTCTGCCCTTGGACTCCTGCAGTGGCACCAGAATCCCACTTTCATGGTCAGCACGGGCCAGTCCAGGGTGCAGGAGAGCTGTCCCTGCCAGCACAGAGGAAGGGCTCCCAGAGCACCGTGGATGACCCCATGTGGCTGAACCGAGTCGTGAAGCCTTGTCAAGCACATTTCTGGAAACCAAGAGGAAATTGCCCAGATTGAAGGATACAAACGATGCGTTGTGGCTTAGAGGTAGGAGCGGCAGTGCCTCTATCCAGTCAGCAAATAGGTCCCTCAGAAAACTTCGGAAATGGCGCAAGTTCCAACCAGAGGACAGCGCTTGGGAAGAGACCACAGTCAGCTCTTGGCTCGATGAGAGGCACGCTCCACCCGGTGTAGAGTGCAACCAGTGGTGTTGCTTGGAAACTGTGTTGCAAAGATGTGAGGGCCCTTGGCCTCTGCATTGCTGTCCGTGGGGATGAATGGAGGCCCTTTCTCCTCTGACCGTGGGCTGCTTTTCCGTCAGATCAATGCCATGTCTTCGTCCTTGGAGAGAGCGCATGTTCCCTCAGGATGAGTGATGAACTGACCGTGCTGAGCATGGACTTACTCTGCACATTTCCCAGTTGCACGATGGATGCTCTAACCCTGTATCTCTCCATTACAGTGAGTCAAGGAGGTGCCTCCCCGGCCTCTGACATGTGTCCAGACCCCGGGATCCCAGAGAACGGGAGAAGAGCGGGCACCGATTTCAGGTAGGAGGCAAAGTCAAGTCGTCCTTGGGAAGGCACGGCCTTGGCTGTCATACACTGTCTATAATCCCACCTGCCGCGATTGTTAGCCTTTGTCCTCTCGATTTAAAGATGTGACTGTCAATTATGATGCAGCCGTAGTGTTTGTAGAACCCTAAAGCACATGGTACAAAAAAATTCCAGATGCTCTAGAGCTGATGCCTTTCAGTATAGCAGCTAATATTAAAACTTTAAATGTATGGGACAAAATTTGTCTTTAGAGCTGTTTTTCCTATTTTTAATACTGTCATGGTATTTTAATGTTTTTAATATTTAAAAAATAAAGGCGGCAAAATGTAATTACAGCCTCCTAATTGTTCCATTCAATACCCCTGTAAAATGATGAATGGTGCTTGCAGTCCGTTGCAGTTTATTCAGAGAATGCCGTGAATCTTTTTAGTAAGATTGGGAAGCACCATCGTGTGCAGTCCAGCTTCCCCAGCACAGATTAGTGCCATGGGGCTTTGCATGTCTCACGATCAGTTCAAGAAGCTTCATATTTGCTGCTTTACAAAACGGACCAGTGACAGGTAGGAGCTGAAAGACCAGGAGTAAAAGAGCAAAGGGTCAGTTTTTCCTGGGGACAATTTCAGCATTTTAAAGAGCAATGGAAGGTGTGCGTGCAGAGGATTCAGCCCACTGCAGGAAGGTGAGCACAGAAGGAAAGCAAAGCCACGACTGATGGAGACAAAGGGGAAGAGGGATGCTATTTAGTGAGAGGAGTATTTGCAAATGGAACAGTGGAGAAATACAGTGGGTTGCAGCGTGGCTAGCATGAAGTTGGTCTTAGGATTCAAGATTCTGTCGCCAATAACACAGTACTAGAGATGGGGCGCATTATGAAGAAAGCAACGTCCTTTGAGCTCACTGTTCTGAAGGTGCAGCCTTGCTTCTGTGACGGCTCCTTGACCGCTGAGCCCAAAGTGCTGCAGGCATCACAGGGCCAGAGGTGGGAGGGAGCCCGCCCATGTGTCTTTGACCTCTCTTCCTTTTCTCCAGCTACAGTAGGGGTTTAATCATGGGCTTCCGGTCTAATCAGCTTTCCAAAACCATCCTTTCCCAAAGGCTGCGGCTCTAACTCAGAGTTAGGCTCAGAGTTGGGTTAAGTTTCTGCCCTCTTAATCCCGCCCCCGGGGATTGGGTGTCGCTGGAGGGAACATGCCAGCTGCGTCCAGCCCATGGCGTTGCTCAGTGGCCCTACGCAGAGGCCCTGTGAGGATCGCAGCCACCAGCTGGCGAACGCATTGAGCAGCCAGCCCCTTGCGGTGCAGACAGCCTGCGTGCGGACGCTCGTGCAAGTGACGTTTTTCTTGGTGTTCTCTGGAGGGGAGTCGGGAAGTAGCGAGAACTGGAGCCGACCGCCAGGGGGAGCCCGGGTTTCACCGGGGCTAGCTTGAGCCTCCGAAGCTCCGGATCAGGAGGGCATCTGCTTTCCCCTTCACTTCCTGCTGCTGGTGGGCTTCTTCACTTCTTCTCTTCCTAGTTTCTCGGGGTTAAACATGAGGTCAGTGATTAAGGCCTTTCTTTTCTTAAACAGGTGTTTAGCGCTGTGAATTTCCCTCCAAGAACTGCTTTGGCGCCGTGCAAGCAGCGTGGATAGGCTGCTGGGGTTTTTGTTGCTGTCGTTGTCCTCGCTCTTTCATTTCATGCAGTTCAAACTACATGCCACGTTCACTTATCGTTCCTGTTTTGGTTCTGTGCATTATGTAAAAGGGTTCTATTTAGCTTCCAGACGTCGGAGGATTTTCTGAGGATCACTGTGGCTAGACAACATACTCGAGTCCTTTCACCTTCATTGATATTTGCTTTATGGCAGAGAATATACTGTATCTTGTTAAATATCCCATCTGACCGTGAGAAGAACTTATGTCACCCTGGGGGGGAAATGTTCTATAAATGTCCACTTTGATGTAGTCATTGCTCTGCTTCTCCAAGATGAGATTGTTGTCATTTTCCAGTTACTTGTCCCATCTGTTATGAGGACAGATGTACATAAGTCTTCTACTAGAATTGTGGGCTTGTCTGTTTGTCATTGTGGCTTCATCAATCTTTGCTTCATATACTTTGAAGCTCTATTAATAACTATATAAGTGTTTAAAGTTGCTATGCTTTTGTTGAATTCACAGCTTTGATGTTACAAAATGACCCCCTTTTCCCTTAGTAATATTCTTTACTCTGAAATCATACTTGATAATATTACAAATTATCTAATCAGAAAAGTCTTTGAAGTATATTGGGAAACTGTCAAACTCATGGTGGCAGATACAATTTTCAAAAATTCTAATTTTTATTACAAAAATTAATACCATTGACTACAAATTGTGCCACCTTCTTTGTAGTAAAAGATGTACTCATTCATTTTTAATATTTTATGTAAAGTGAACAAGAGGCACAGGGGGTCATAAAGGCCATTGTCCTGAGCTGCAGAAGTGTACTCATTCATTTTTAAGAAAATATCTGACAAATACTCAGATCTTAGCAGTGATAGTCATTCTTCCAAATAAAGACATATTCAGTGGGGAGAAAGCAGCTATTTTGTCTCACAAATCAGACGATTCCATGTATAGCTTCCCCAAGGACATCCCTGAGGCCTCAGTGTGCACTGGAATGGCTCTGTGCGCGCACACATCAGGGTGTATTCAAAGGAAAGCCCATTCCTGCTTCATCAAGGGTATTCACAGCCCAGCCCAGTGCTCTGCCCAGCGGGAAGCTGCTGCAGGTTGAGCACCTGTCATTCCCAGCATCACCTGTGCACACTGGTAAAAGTGATACCACAGAAGACAAGGCAGGAGACACTGGAGATCAGGCCAGGCCTGCGTCCTTACAGCCCTCCGACCATGGCCTCTCCAGGGGCCAGAGGGCCACCCCTGAGCAGAGACCCGCCGGTGCACGAGCCAACTCCAGCAGCAGAAAGACCAGCTTGCAGAGGCCCAGGAGCCTGGGGACAGGAGAGGCGCTGCTCAGACGTCTGCTGCACTGCAACTCCGGCCTGTCCCTGGGTTGTCTGGATGCGTCCCTGCGACAGTGGAGCCCAGTGAGTCCACATGGACTCAGGCTGGTGAGCGCCACAGCCCTCGGGAGGACCCACTCGGGACCTGCCCCACACTGAAGAAGGTCGCTATCAAGTTTATGTTTCTCGCTAAGGGGGAGAGCTCTTAACTGCTTGCAGTGTTTCTAAGATTGTTTTTAATGAAACCCCATTCAATTCTTTCTAAATTCTTATAACAAAAACTAGTGACTAACAGAATCCACACTAATGACCGACATGGTCAAGATGAGTGCATAGACTCATTTGCATTTAGTACTGTAATTATATGTAATTCAGGGCTATTTTCTCTGAAAAGAACTCACTTTATTAAGTTGGTAAAATATTCCTCATCCCATTTTGTTTATATTGCTATTGTTTCCCAGAAATCTTCTTTCTCCCTGGGCAATCTAAAGATTAACTGCTGCATTGTCTGTAGAGTATTCAAAGTAAATGAAGTGTCCAGCATGAAGCTTCCTTATTCAAATTCAAACCAGTTTGAGGACGGGGTTCTGACTGTACCCTGCACTGTGGAGCACTGTCTAAAAGACACAGTAGATTCGCTAGGACTGAATATTTATGAGTAAGATTGATGAGAAGTCAGACACTGGCATGTGAAGGAGGAGGGGGAGTCAGTAGATGAAGCCTGATCTCCATCCGTTTCCTGTGTAGGTGAGAAGATGCAGCGAGTCCAGGGAGACACGATTACCCTCCCTTTTACAAACAGAGCTGCTAAAATGCAGTTCTGCCCTAGGAGGCTCCGTGTCTGGGCAGGTTTAGAGCTGAGTTCAGGACCGTCTAACTCACGGGAAGCCCCGTGGACCTCCGTGCATTGCTCCAAGGACAATTGCAAGGACTCCTGTCTTCACACCACCCGCCCACGGGTGACCACTGGATGGATGGGCTGCTGGCTTGTGGATGTCACAAAGTGAGAGGCAGGAAGCACGTGAGCTCGGCCTCCAAGCCACACACCTTGGTGGAGGTGGCAGGTCTCCGCAGAGAGCCGTTTGGTTTAAATTGACCGTAAGACTGGGTGTCATGTTCTAACCAGCCGGGGTCCACACTGCTACAGGTTCTTTACATATGTCATTCCTAATCCTAAAATCTGTCTTTTACCCAGGGGTTCTGGCTCATGCCTTTAATCCTAGCACTATGGGAGGCTTCGACAGGCTTCGAGTTCAACTTGGGGAGCTTAGCAACTTAGCAAGATTCTGTCTCAAAATAATAACAATAATAATAATAATAAGGGCTGGGGAGGCAGCTCAGTGGGAAGGTCCTGAGTTCATACTAAAAAAGAAAAGAGAAAATCTATCCTTGAGAAGCACCTGCATCACCTCTAGTAGACGTGGAAGCAGGAGGAGCCCTTGCAAGTCTGAGGCCTGACTGTCCCTCTGCTCCCTGGACTTCTTCCTCTTTCTTTCTTGCCCCCCTCTCCTGAGTCTCCAGGGGACGCCCCTGAGTGTCAGCCCGCTGCTCTGGCATCTCCTTCCTCTGCCTGACCACTGCACCCTCCTGCTCCTTCTGCCCTGCGTGCTCAGGCTCAGCTTGCACAGCTGTGGGTTTTGGTCCCTGCTCAGCAGCCCCTCCCAGGCCTGTTCTCCCCAGGCTTTCACCAGGAGCACGTGGAGCCCACTCCTGCAGAAACCGATGCACCACTCAGAAGGCAAGCGAGACCCCCTCCTCCAGGTGCTTCTGGACTGTTGGCTTTTTGGAAAGCAGAACGCGTCCGGCTGCCCCAGCCCTCAGCATGCCCACGCCGTGGCTGGGCCTGCAGCGGGGAATGCCTCTTCGCCTCACTGGACCCCTCTTCCTCCTGCGCTGGCAAAGCCCAGCCTGCTGGCACCCAGTGAGGGCAGCATGGGCAGTCTATCATGTCATGAAATCATGAGGTCCTGAAGGAAGAGGGATGGGCCTTATTGATTTTATTTCTCATCACTCT